AAAGATGTAGATGGAGGATCTACCAGCATTTTGGATATCACGCGAGATTCGCTCGTATTCTAGTAAGATTCGGATATGACTTATCACGCTGATAGGCGTACGGTGATTAAGTTCAACTCTAAGCTGAGATTAAAAATGGTTTTATTTAACGAAAAGAGAGTGAATTGAACGGAGAATGGTGTAAAATTCCGTTTGGTTTATTGTAATATCTGCTGAAGGCAAGCAAGACTCGACCAATTGCTCGTGACTCAAGGTCCTTGACCAAATATACTCACGAATCCTCACGTTTTCTTTTTTTTTCATTGAACGACCTCGGAAGCTGATTATCTGTCATTTTGCTTATTTGTTGTTCTTATTTTATGTTGGTTACAAAAAGTTGTGGTCTTAATTTTGGTCTTTGTATATGTATATTTCGTTCGATGTTCAGTAGGGTTAGCAATTCATTTGTAAACATAATGAATGATATTATTTTTAATGACGTTATTGTAACAATTGTCATGTTGATGTTTTTGTTTGAAGTATTTGTGAGTGTTTCTTTTTGATTTTCTTTGATTGTCAGTAATATTGTCGTCTTTAATGATGTCGTTATTAATTGTAAGATATCAGTCAGTATTTGACATTGTTATTTGATTATTATTGATGTTCTTGGTATTGTTATGTCGAAGTTGTATTTGTAATTTTTCATTTTATTGATAGTATTTGTGTTTGGAACAAGAGTTGTGTGTAGGTGTATTAACATTGTGATATAAGAATGTTTTATTTGGTCTGTATTACCGGTATCAGGCGAATACTGTTTGCCTTTCCATGAAGTTATGCTAATTGAGATGGTGTAATTCTTCTCCAGATTGTGTTTTTCTAATTGTCATTTCTACTGATCACTTCGATGTTAATGATTCGTTGATTGATTGGATTATAGCGTTTGAAAGAAATTTGCGAATAAGTTTTAGTTATGTTAGGGGATGGTTCGGTGATTTCGTTTGCTTTCCGTTATTTTGTTGGGAGATTAGTCAATGAATTGTCTGCTGAATTTGAGGGAATATTATCGTTTCAACTTATTGAATTGACTAAATTCATTGGATATATGATGAGACTCTCTTTGATTGAAGTATTGATAAGGATTATGAACATTGCCCGGAAACTCTTTATGCGGTAATTCATTTGAAATAGAGGAATGTACTGAATACGCTGTGATTCAATCAGATATTTCGAGTTTGTTATGTTTCAAGTTCCGTGTTGAATATTTGTTATAAGTATTTGTTCAAGTTGAACAAGACGTCAATACTGCGTATTGAAGGATTAGTTGATAAAATAAAATTAAAAATCATCTCTTTGCCGTATCTGTCGAATTTTTGTTTGCTGAATGCAAAAAATAATCTTAGAGGTATATGAAAACCAAAAATATATTGTTGATTGATTAGTGTCGTAAGAAGTTTCACTCTTGGGATCTTCCATTGAGTCTCTTTATTGATCTCTGAAATGTGATGGTTTTTTAGTTCTGTGTAAATCCGTATTATAAAATGAGGAATTCAAAAATGGGTGAAGTATAAATTTCCATTTTAGGTCGTTTGCGGCCACCAAACTAATATAAGTGCTCACAATCAGAAAAATGCTAACGAATAGGACGTTTGCCGTGATATTGTTAACGAGTAAACGTGCGATCTGCACAACGCCATTGCTGATGGGTCGTTGTTCAGTTGGATTCCCTCAAGCGACCGTACAGTTCCAGAAATCCTTTCAGTTCACTCAACTATCATCGTTACACTCATCAGGTTGCTAAATCAATTAGAAATTTCTTCATTTTATTACCGTTTAATCGAAAGAAATAGCAACATTCGAGAAGTAAGCAGTGTATAATCTTTTGGAAGAAACTCTTGGGTAGGTGCGATTTCTGACTGGATAGAGAAGTCTGATATATAGATTTCGACTGATGAAATTCTGATCGTATCATATAGAAAGTCGTCCAGTTACTGCAAAAATAGCATTGTGGGTCATTCACGATTAGGCTCAATGTCAGTGATTTCAAAAGTTCCAGTAGGTGGTTCATTTTTTTAAAATTTCAGCTCGTTTATTTGTTCGAGGACGAAATGAAAACGCAGAAGATGGTAGTCAACATGAGGGAAGAGATGAAACAAAGTTCAATGGCTCAGAAGGCACATCTTCGCAAGGACAACAACAACAGAAATCGCCCTTCGACGATCCTAATTTCGGTTGGTTGAATTGCTGTAATCTGAAGTTTCGGGTCAGAATCGATGTTGTTGTCAATATGGTTTATAATTCATTCAGTTTTGAGAAAACTCAATCGCCATATCAGAACTTTTCATGAAGAATCTTCTTTGAAGTGGACGAAAGTTGGTAATATGCAGTGCAATTGTTGATTTTGAAATCAGGAACTTTGAGTTTAGATTTTGCTGTCTACCTCTGAATTTTACAAGTAGTGACATAAATGTAATAAAATTTAATAAATGATAACAATACAGTTGTGATAAATGTAATAACGGTAACAATACTAATAGAAATGAGAAAATGAAGAAGTGAAATGAGATTCCAAATGTTCAGTTCGTCGAATGCGAGTGTATATGCTCATAGTGGGTGGATGTACATTCGTAGTATCGTATGTCATCATGAAACCACTTTTCTCGCAACAATTCCCAACGAAGTTGGGTGCTGATATTAATGCGCCACCGCTGGAGATGGAGGAATTCCTCAACACCTATATACCATCAGGAGAGGTTTGTGTGATCGTGAGCTTTTTATTTGAAGTTGATATGTTTTGATGGATTCGAGTAAGGCAATTGGACTGAATTAAGATAGAAAGCAGTAATATTTTCATGTAATATCATTGAGAGTGTAGTGGAAATCTTCAGTTTGAGAGGAATATTACTGAATATTAGATTTTAGAATGCGACACTGAGTTATTAGATTGTTCTCGTTGATCGGAAGATGGAAATTTTTTGATAAGTTCAGATATTGGCTGTTATGTGATAGTGAAAGATTTGAGTCGTTCGAAACATTTAGGAAGTTCAGCAGGGAAATTTTTTAAGTTTGATTTTTAGTTGACGAATGTGTTAGTCGTCCTTTTAAGTGGTTGAAATATTCTTCATCAAATATTTTTCAAGAGCAATTTTTGAAATAATGAAATTTTCGTTCAGGTGAAGCGTTTAGTTCATTTTCCGAAGCAAGAGAAGGCCGTAGCGTGGTTGCATGATGATGCGATAATTAATGGACAACCGGTAAATACTCTTTTATCTCGTAGTGTATTGGGTTTGAAGTTTTCGAGATGTCTTAACGCAGTTCGATGATTTTATTGAGAAATGAAACTGATGAATTTGGCTCGGAATGGAATCTTGACAATGAGAGATGAAATAATTGAAAGGTTTACATGAGGATTTCTGTGAGCTTTTATGAACTATTTGATTCAGTTAAAACATTAAAGGATTTTCATATACGCATTTTTCAGGCGAATCATTCATTTGTTGTCGTCAAATATGAACGTGTTGATGGAGTACCGCCGGAACATTTCCGTGAGGAAATAAGAGCGAAAGAGAAAGAACTCGGTATTCCGTTACAGAACGCCATTAATGTTGAGGAATATTATGGTTTCTCGAACTTTAGGTGAGTTTTGCAGTTGAATTTCGAATGTTACACATCTGATCAAACAAATCCATTTGTCATATGAAAAAGTTTATGTTAGTGGCATAATCGTGAGCTGTATATGTATCAGTCAAATTTTCACTTCATAAGTAATTTTTTCCAAGATTGTAAATAAATTTGTATATTTCAGATTTGTCGAATTATTAATTGGCATTGCAATTCTGGGCTTTTTAGCGTCCCAATATGGACGTTTAGTAGCCAGAAAAATTGCTGAACAGAAAGCTAAAGGTGGCGGACGTTGACCTGTGTGCCTTTACAGAGAAATCTGAAAGGAAACGCCTGAGTTTTCGAATCGTCAAAATTAGACATTCTTATGGGTATTAGAGATTTTGTGGAAAAATATTTGAATTATCAAAGAACAAATGTTGGGGACAAGGAATTGGCATGCCATTCGGGGAATGAATTATTTCAGATTTTCAATTGCACTTTTGCTCAGCATATCAATACTGTCACGTCTGTATTGAGGTAAATTGTATTCGTTTCGTTGATTGTTTTGTATTGTATTGAGTTGTTAGCTGATGTACTTTTATTTGCTTGTATTTCAGTGCAATTACCAATTGCTAGATACAATTGTTTCGAATATTAATTTATTCATTTTCAAACGTAACGAAAAATCATTATAAATTTGAACTATAGTCGACATTGAGCACACACGATTTACCACAAGAAATTGGTAGCATTTACACCGGTAAGTAAGGGAACAACACCGAGAAAGATATATAACTACATTAAAGGATTCAAAATGATATGCAGTTGAAAAGAATTCCAAACCGATAATATTTTAAAATAACAAGAGTATCTTAGTGATGATAACAACTAACAATAACAATGTCGTATTAGTGATAACTCAGTAGTGAT